CCTACGGAAAGGGTTTTTTTTTTTTCAGAGAGGATTTTAAGGCTGGACAGCAAACTGTCTAACAGATACAAAGGTTGTTTTTTGTTGTTGAAGAAATATATATATATATATATATTTAAGATTTTTAGCAGATAGACGTAATACCTACTGAATACCATAATACTGTTGAATCCTCCTCTTTTCACCCCGTTAAATACGTCCTGGCTGTGTTTATTTGAATTCATTTAAGAAACTGGAAAAGATAAAATTGTCTGTCCGTGGCTCAGCTGAGAAGTTTTACAAATGCTAGCAGCCTCTCATCTCCCACTTCGAACCAATGCAATCTATCCCATTAGTATGGGAAGTATGACCAGAGAAAGATAAGTGTTTATTGTTTTGGGCCTATATGCACACACAGCGACATGCATATTGGTGCATTTATTGTGCAGACACAACTAAGTGAGGAGATATAACAGTGTGGGTAACGTTACTATACATACATTTTGGATTGTGATCTTGTAGGATGCAGACAAGGTTAGGTTGACATGTTGATGTTCAGTATTACCAGCTGACTTTTATTTTTTATCTTTTTAAGCTTTTTAAACAATTTATTTCTGTATCTGTTTATTTTAAATTACTTGCACACCTACTTTATGTCTATGTATGCTATTCAATTATTTTTTACTTTCATTCATTTATCATTATCATTACCGGTGGGGGAGTGGAGGGTAAAAGAGATAATATTTCTGTTTAAAAAGAAAAACTTGAAACTATGCTACTGTATTAACACGTGCAAATTGCTGAATAAAATTTGGTTACAATTTTTTTCTTGTGAGAAAATATATTTCATTTGGATTATTTATGGTTTATACACACTTGTCTCTCTCGGCCTCCTGTTTTATTAATATTCATACAGAAATCAATAACAAATGAATCTACAATTCAATGTATTTAAATGTATTGATTGCAGATTCATTTGTTATTGATTTAGTTTCAAGGTAACTTTACTACACTAAATGATGTTGCTCTGCTAACATTAAGCTAGTTAGCTTTAGCAGTTTAGTGCTAACTAGCTGTGCTGTTTTTTCCCATCTATCATGATTGTACTTTGCTAGTCTCATTTAGTGATGTCGAGCAACACGCCAACATACCTGTTTATCAAAACGGATATTATTGAACCACAGATAGCCGCTATAGAAAAAAAAACTACATTTTGCTTTAGCTAAAATAAGAGCTAGCTAACGTTATGTCAAGCTAGCCGTTGAAATAGCAACGGCTAGCTTGACATAACTTAGCTAGCTCTTATTTTAGCTGCGTCATTGACTTCCTGTGTTAGCGGTTTGTGTTCGCCGCCATTTTTGTGGCTATCGCACATTTCTCACTCATAGGTATACTTTTATAGTTCATACTTTTTGTTATGGTAAATGGTTGTCAAAAAGTCAATCTTAACACAATGTTGCTTACCTGTTTTCTTCCAAACATAAAAGGCTGAACATCTGTTAATTGAATAGATGTTAGCTTAATAATTAGCAGCAGGTGAAATTACTTACCTACTCCTGCCATTGTTTATGGCAATTCAGTATTATGAGTATTTTTTGGTCACTGTTGAGTTTCTTGTTCAGAGAAAAATATAACTGGATTAAATAAAACCAGAATTAATAACCTCCCTCTCAGTTAGAGACACACTGGGCCTGAGTGTGATACAGTCCCTCTGCTGGAGCAGCTAACAGCAAACAGACATTTTGTTGTGTCATTGCATGAAAGCACATGTGTATTTAATAACATTAATTACAGCTGCATTCCATTCAGAGGAGGCCTTTGAGCCAGTTGCACAAAACACTTTAAGATTTCTCCTTAAGTATGACACTGAAGACTTACTTTTTCTTACACTGAGGGACTTACTTAAGGGTGTTGCACAGAATCCCTTAGGTTTCCTTTGCTAAGTAAATATGTTAAGGCTTTTACTGAACTGAAAGAGATTTTACAGTGGTAAAATACTACAGTGTCCATGATAACCATTTATTAACTTGCTCTCAAGTTTGGGATGTTAAAAGTCTTTTGTGCAAAGGTTTAACTAGCTGTAAGGGATTCTTTAGGTATAAGCCCAAGATAAGGAGAAAACCTTAAATACTTAGAGTAAGTGAACATTTTAAGGAAATCTAAGGGAAAAGACATGTTTTTGTAACTGATTTTATGTTAAGAAAGCCTTAACATGGACTATAAGGGAAATCTTACCCCAAGGTGGCTCGCTGTTAAGCTTACTGGGATACTTTATGAAACCAAGCCATCGTTAATGTTATCAATTTCACCTTTGCTTTTCTTGCCTGCTGTGAAAAAGGTCCATCAAACACTTCACTTTATGTTCAAGAGTCAATGCCAGGCCAGTAGTGTCATCTAGATTTATGAGGTACATTATACCGAGGCTATACTTTACCTGAGGGACAAGGCCAGCAAGGAAACTTCTGTTTCCTCCCGGGGAGGAAACAGAAGTTTGAATTGAATTGAATTGAATTGAATTGAAGTTTTACCAGTTTTAAATTGTAGTATCAGTCAAAGATGTGCTGTTGTAATTTTTTAAGAACAAAACAAAATACAGTCACCACATGTTTAAATGAAAGCTCCCACAATTAACTTACTTTATTATCCAGAGGCAGCATTAGAGTTTCCAATGTCAAAGTAGCCAGCTACTTAGTTCAGTTCCAAAACACAAAACAAAAGTTTCTATTTAATATAATTTAATTTCATTTAATTTTATTTTAATTTTCTTATGCAATAAAAGTTATTTGTGTGCTTGAGTTGATGCATCCAATCTAAAGTGGACAGGTGGCACAGACTCTGGGTGACAGGAGGACCACAAGGCACTGCTGTTGTTCTCATATGTGAAACAACACCGCCACCTTCAGGCCAAACTGATACCTACATGAACTCATAGTAACACCAGAGGGCAGCACATATTAATAAAACATTTTGGGGACTTGACACAGACCTCCACAGGGACCAACATAAAATATTTTTATCTTATAACCACTATATTTTAATAGCAGTTTGTTATTGGAGACAAAACTACTTCCGGTGTAGATTAAAGGCTTTAAATGAGCTAAATAGAAAATCAGTGTTTGTTATTTTCTCCACATATTCTAGTATTCTGCATTTTGCAAACTAAACACAACTTTGAAATCATGACACAACAGCAGAACTTTGGCAATAAATGTACCTTTTTATTGGATATTGAGGGCATTAGTACCAAGAAGGCACGGACCAGACTTCATAATAACAAATCTTTTTTTTTTAAACTACAGGGTGACAAAAAAAAAAAAAATCTTTCATTTTTTCCTGAAGGGAGATCCTTTCACAGAAAGGATTATGGACACAGACATACAGACTCTTACTCAGTGTAAGTATGACCATATATTGAAGTCAGAAAATGAAGTTAGAACAAATTATGAAGACTTTAAGGACATGGGTTATGACTGTATGGCTATGTACCTCAACACATACTGTTTTAATATAAGAAACATCATCGTCCATCAAAATATGACTTTAGACACTTTCCATTAATGAGTAGAAATAATTATACGTTTAAAACAGTGAAAGAAATAAAACTGTAGGAAATATAGAAGTTGTTTTTAATTACATAGCGGTATCAAATTCATGTACTTGTTATGTGTTACATAAATGTGTTTCTTAAAACCTTGTTCAGATGCTCCGTATTGCCAGTCTGTGAGAACTGAAGAGACGTGGGGTGACTTAAGGCTGAACTGGGGTCGAAACAGCAACAGAGATCTAAAATGAGTGCCACTAAGTGTCGTGTGAGTCACGCATCATACAGCTTAGCTACAAAGTCAGAGAGTAAATAAAAGTAGCTGGAGTTTGTACAATTATGTCATTTGTTTGTTTTTGTCAGCAGGCATCTTGTTACACGAGTCTCAACCCAGCTCAAGACGTCAGCCAACGGCAAAAAAAAACGTAAGAATTTAAATATGATAACATCCCTTCTGCAGATGACGTAAAACAGTTAACACCTAAAGGAAAAGTTTGACATTTAGGCACTGTTTAACTTTCTTGCAAAGAGTTGGATGAGAAGCTAAACAGCAGCTAGTTAGCTTAGCATTAAAACTAGAAACAGCTAGCGTGGCTTTGTCAAACTGTCACAAAATCTGTCCGCTAACTCCTCTAAAGCTCAAGTATTCACACAGATTAAACAACTGAGATATCAGGTGCTAAGTAGAGACTTAAAAGATGCTGGTAGGAGAATTTTAGCCCCGTTATGGTTCAGTTCGGCACGCTTTTTCTCCGATAGTACCAATGTAACTGTTCCGTACTGTCCCCATGTTTGGTCCCCCCTCTGTTGGGGTACCTAGCACACAGATCTGGTACCAAAAGGTGGAGCTGTGAACACTGCAGTCTGATTGGTCAGTAGAGGACGGTCACTGCTCAGGGCTGAGTTGTGTCTGATTTTGAGGCTCATGTAACCACTGTTCATACTGTGGAGAGGTTTATTAGTAAACTGTAACTATAAAATGAAAGGACGTTTTGCCACCTGTCACAGCAGCTGGAGTCTGAGAAACAAATAACTTAATTCATTGGGCTAAATGCCGGCGACTTTTAAGGTGGAACGTTAACTTGTAATGTTACTCAATGCATGAGTTGACGACGTGAATGAGTGGATCTTCAAGAGTTTATATATATTAATTTCATCTGGATTATGTGAGCTGCATGTATTCTAATCCTCACTCTTAGAAAAAAGCAGCGTTGTGGAGTGTTGTTCCTGTGGGCTCTGCCAACACTAAACCCCTGAGCTTGTCTGTGAAGGACTAAATGCACAAACCTGATATTTCTTAATATCCCATGGAGAGAGACTCTCACTGCAGCCTGTTTTATTTTGATCAGAAAATGTCGGCGTGCAGCCTCATTCTGTGGACGATAAACAAGGTGCAGACTGATAAAGGAGGAAATACAGTGAGTGCTGGACGGAGCAGTGAGTGACAACAACCCCGCCCACATTTAAGGGTAATGTTTGGAAATGCTAGGGTCTAGGTACCATGTCTAAAGGGTTGATTTTGGTTACATACCGAAAGTGTTTGGTGGAAACAGGACGTCTGTTGCCTTCACATAGAGCCAGGCTAGCTGTTTGCCCCATTTTCAGACGTGATGCTAAGCTTAGCTAATTGTTTTCTGGCCGTAGCGTCATGTTTAGTGCACAGACGTGTGTGGTATCGAGCTTCTCCTATAACTCTCAGCATGAAAGAGGAATAAACATATTTCCCAATATGTTGAACTATTCCTTTAATGAACAGCATGATCCAGTCTTTTCAACTACTGTTTTTCAGTAATCGAAATGTAGTTGTGTGGTCATGATAAACCAGTACCAAAAAATATGGTTGCATCTTTAAAAACGCTTGACGCTGTTTTAAATCAAAGCTGTAACTGTGGCACTTTGAATCTGAGCTGCATGAATGATGAGTAAAAACACCTTCCTGCCCTCGTTCACACCAGTTGTAGTGTTGTGAAATCTGAGATGTGACTAATGAGAAATAAGTGCTCGTAACACATCTTGTCAGCCACAACAGGCTTCAGTTCTCTTGAATCTGACTGTGGGATTAAAAATGATAAAACCAGTCTTTCTTGTTCCACTAACATCACACGTCCTTAATACTGTCACATACATTTGCTTGTAATACTGAATGACATCAGAATAACTGCTCGACATACACGAGTCTGGAGAGTTCATACAAAACACAACATGTAAAGAGAATTCAGGTAAAACGAGAGGATGCAAAATAAAAAATGTAACAAATTCCAGTTTAAAACAATGGATGAAATGAAACAGAAAAACAAAAGAGTGAACAACAACTGAGCAGAAAGAAGGACGTACATGTGTGCATCAAAATGTACGGTTTGTTTTGGCCATCAGCCGACCGGGCTCCATTTTGAGTCTAGATTACAGGGAAGCTTTTGTGGCCGCAAACTCGACGCAAGTCGGGACATGTAGGAACCTACTCGACCTCATTCCTCCCCGGGAAACTCAGTCGGAGTTCACAGGACATCAAACAGTTTGAAATCGAGTCTTTCTGACATTTAAGAAGCTGAAAAACTGGCTTGAAGTGTGTGAACGTTTAAAAAAATCATGTGGAGCTTTGAATTCTGATGGCTTGGATCTTTAGAAATGACTAAGGTGAGGGTGTGTGATTGTCAAGGCGAGGGTTTGACATCTGCATAGTGTGATGAAGGCACGTCGGGTGTGTGTTCACATGATTAAGAGTCCAGTCTGAGAGTGGGGAGTTGGCACACTGCACTTCCTGCTGAGGTCAAATGAAGCAGCGCAGAAGAAGAGACCAAGGCTGCTTTCTCTCAAAGACATATGCGATCATCGTCCCTCCCACCATGACTTTAAAATCATCATGGCTGCACACTGCGAGAAAAAGTTGTTTATTTCCATTTCTTGACTTTGGTTCGTAGCTCGTTTTGTCCTTTGTGTCCTCCAGAGAAAATCTTTGATAAGCTCTTCATGTCTGTGCATGAGTCTGTCTGCTGTAAGCCAACGTGCACACACACACACAGTTTATGACTTAATGAAGCAGGCAAACACCACGTGTGGTTCTTGAAACCAGATTGGAGGAGACAGATTTGAATAAAAACGTTTTTTTAATTAAAGAATATGACAGGATCCCTTTTGTTTCCTTTCACACAGGGGAGCAGCTCAGGTTACGTTTTAAATACGCAGGTTCTCTTGAACTGTGTGTCCGTTCTTTAAGTTCCCTTTAGAGCCAGAATCCTCCATGTTTGTTTGTTTATTATGTTATGTGTCTGAAGTGGTAAGTGAAGGGACAGCCAACTTGTTGCCAGTTTACTCATCCTAGAAACCGCCTCTCTAACACTCCTCTCTTGTCTCGTTCCCTGAGGGCTGAAACATCTCCACATCTGACACGGCGGAGCGAACAGGGCACCCTGAGGCCTCCTTGTTTCCGCCTCCGTCACACAACGAACTCGGGAACCTCGTCGCTGGTCAGGTCCAGGGAGAAGTACTTGTTGGTTCTCTTGATGGGAAACGGGTGCTGCTCGCCAAGCATGCCGGCGCGCTGGTCGGCGAGGCCCTGATAGCCGCCTCCGCCGCCGTCACTCAGCTCCTGGGCGCAGCCGAATGTGTAGCTGTGGGCAGTGTCCTGGCAGAGCTCCGCCCACTGTAGGCAGTCCTTCTGGTAGAGCCGGACGTCATCAAGAGACTGGCTGTGTCGGTCGGTTGAAGACTGAGGCTTCCTGCATGCAGACGTCTGCAGAAGGAAAACGACAAATGAGATATGATGAAATAAGCTGCAAGCGTTCAAACGTGTGAACGAAGAAAAAGTCTGCTGTCAGAAACGTTTAAGGCGGAATTTATACTTCTGCGTTCAATCAACACTGTACCTATGGCGTAGGCTCTACGTCGACGCAGACGTAGCCTCCACAAAAATAGCATTTTAAGGCTTGTGTGTGATTTATCCTGGCTTCATATGTGCAGAGAAAATCTTGGCTCATCACTCGGCTAATTTATACAATGTCAAACACCATAGGCTTGTGCTAATAAAATTAGCATGTTATATTTGTTTGGAAAACATGTTTAGTGTAAGACAGTTATTTTGTGAACCTTGTGAGTTGCAATGGAGCTGAATTTTGTAACATTACCACCAAATGTTACTGTTGTCCCTGGCTTTATAGGAAGAGGAAAAGTCTGCTAGCTGCTAGGCTAATTTATACAATGTAAAATGCCATAGGCTTGTGCTAAAAACATTAGCATGTTGTATTTGTGGGGAAAATGTGTCCAGATAAAGACAAGTGTCTGTGAATGCTGCGAGTTATAGTGAAGCTGATTTGTGTACTTGTGTTTGACATTGTCGCTATTAAGTCTTGTTTAATGTGTGTTTTGAATCAACTAAACTTTACAGCACTTCACAGACACCCCACGGCCGACTAGTGTTTTGGAGGTGTAACTGCAGAGTGACACAGACACACCACCGCACAAGTATAAATGCTCACAGCCGTGTAGGCCATGTGCGTAGGCTACGGTGTAGGGTCTGCTGCACAAGTATAAATCCTGCTTAAATGTTAATGCTCATCAAACACTGATGTTAAATATTGTCCAGGAGTCACTCTGTAGTCAAACTGTGGTTAACTTCCACTTCTCTGTTGGATAGGACAAGATCTATTATAACTTTTTTCTACCACAGTCATGATAGACTTCTTAACTGCATTTCTCCAGGCATTACTGAAAGTGTTTGGACGTTGCCATATACTGTGTATTGTGCTGATACAAGTGCACATGGTGCTGTAAAAACCATGCATTAAATCTGAATTACCTGCGGCAGAGACTCGATGCTCTGTCCTCTCATCTTGACGACGGTCTCAGAGGAGCTAGAGGTGGAGGAGCTGACGTCTTTTACTATCAGTCCTGCGGAGAACAGATGATATCATTTAGCTTCAGTATGAAACAACTCTTTATTACAATCCCTAATGCATCTTTATGGTTGTCTGTTATGTGTTCAGTCAGTGCGCTGTGGGTGTGACTCGCTCATAATGCCAGAAAACTGAGAATAAGACACTATCTACCTTCTGCACACGCTACAGTTCACCCCTGAGGAATCTGAACTCAAAGTATAAAATGTAAATAAGTATAAGAAGAGCAGACACAGTGTGAGATGGCATCTGTACCTGAGTATCCATTGGTCTGATCAGGAGACATGGTCAACATGTCCTCTGTGATGTGGATACACAGCTCCTGGTCCAGAGCCATCTCATGGAGCTCCTCGTAGTCTTTGGGGTCATCCACCAGCATCTCAATCTCTGAAGGAACAAAGATTGTCTGAATTATTTCAACTCACAACAACGTCCCCAGAATAACTACAACTTTCATCAACTTCATACATGTGTAACATTAAGGATGAAATATCAAATGTCCCCTCTTACCGTCATCATCTAGTATGCGCTCCTTGCCGCTGCTCTCGATGCCGGAGGTGTGCGAGCTCCCGTGGCTGGTTGTGGACGAGCTGCAGGTCCGTAGGGGCCTGTGTGGGGCCTGACCCGGGGCCCTGAAGCTGTCCGTCTCGATGCCGGAGGTGTGTGAACTGCCGTGGCTGGTGGTGGAGTGGCGGGACAGGCGTTTGTGATGAGACATGCTCCCTGCGCTGCTGCCGCTGGCCCGGGAACGTTTGTCCAGCTGGTCCATGTCCAGTTCGAGAGCGTCACTGATGTACGACTCCCTGTACTGCTTCTTCTCTGAAATCAGTCAAACACAGGACACGTTTTAGTTTTAAAACAGATTGGATATTCTTCAAAATGTCATATCCATGTGTGATCTCTTGAGGTTTACAACTTTTATGTAACTGTGCTTTGGCACACAGTGTTAGACAAGATAATAAATGAATATATAACTGCATTAGTAGTACCTTCATTTTCCTCCAACCGGCGGACTTGTTTGAGAACAGGCTGCAGGTTCATGTAGAGCCGGTGGCTGTTGCTGAGCAGCTGCAGGAGGTGGCGAGAGCGTAAGGGACAGCCTGTGTAGTAGATGAGCTTACGGGCCGAGGGCAGGCCATCAGGAAGGATTTCAAACTTCTTTCCCTGAGAGAGCGGGAGGAGAAAAGAAGCATGAGCGTTGATTACAGGACTGTGTGATTTACAGCAGTTCGTAATGTGAGATTTTGAAATAGGAATGTGAATTTCAAATTATGATTAAGCGCTAGAAAGGCCTGAAGGCAAATCTCAGAGGAGGACTGAAGTCTGTTCTTGAAAACTGTTCTGTAGCCAAAGACAATGCAACAATCAGTCCCTGTATCTGTTCTTCATTTCTTCCTACAGACACAGAAACAAAGCATTTTTGATGGTTTTCCAAGGAGAGGACATGTTGGCTGAATGCATGGAAAAACTAAAATGTTGATTCTGTGCTTTCTCCTGCGCTTTCTGGCAAAGGCTGGACCCATTAACAGCTGTCTTTAGTGTCAGTGGGGTTGTTTTCAATGCAGACCTATAAACATTTCTGCAAGGCTTTGGACTTTCAAAGGCAACGGGTGGGTTTAAAGGCCTGGAAAATGCAAAGAGCTGCACATTTCTGACCACAAGACTGAGCTTTCATTTTATTCAACCAGACGTTTGTAAAGAAACCAGCTTAATGCAGGTTTGTTTAACCCCTGTGCATAGGTAGGGAGGCACGTTAGAGGGATTCAGCTTTGTACAATCGGGAAATGAGTTCATAAAAACCGACCGACATTTGTTCATGGACGGTGGCTTTCCTATAAAAGATCATTTTCTCTGGGCAGAGGAATCCTTGAGGCTCAAAGATTTCCTGTTCAAATCCCTGGACCTGCTGTAAAACTCTGGGTGGGAAAATGAAGTTGAGTATTTGTCTTAAACCTCAAGCTGCCCCTCTGCGACTCCTAGTGGTCACCAGTGAATCACTGAAGTCATACTGGGCAGCAGCTTAGTGTGAATGAGGCAAACTGAGTGAGGCAAAGCAGATTAGATTGGATACTTTATTAATCCCAGTGGGAAACTGCACGGGTTACTGCTGCATGAAATCTCTGTTCTTCCTGGTAATCTGATCTGTTTTCAATGCTTTTATTTACTACACCTCTCAGCCAGGCATTTGCTGTTATTCTTGGGATTAGTTACATTAATCAGAATGAATGGTACAATCCCCATAGACCTCCATGTTAAAATGTTAAACTTTACAGCAGAAACAAACATGTTTACAGCCTGGTACAAAAACATTTTGGTCTCTATGGCTAATGTCCCCGTTCATGATGACTGCACAGGGGCTAAGTTTTTTTTTTTTTTTTTAATTACTCACCCTTTAACATTTTATTATGGCTGAAAGTTATGCATAATTAAGGATGAACTTTGAGTGACAGGCTGTCTGCCGATAGTGTCCTTGGCTTCTCGGTCCAATCCACCCCTCGCTCTCGCCCAAATATGGTCACTTCAGGCCCAAAAAAAACAATATGGCGACAGCCAAAATGCCAAATTCAAGACTTGAAACGGGAGTCTACAAACCAACGGGTGACATCACGGTAGCTACATCCATTAATTTTACCGCCTATGTACCCATCATGCTTTAAGAGAATGAGTCAGTTAACTGTGGCTTTCTGCTGCGTTCATGTCATATTGTAATTATTGTAATCGCCAGTTTCTGACTTGCAAATCACATCATTCAAGTCGTAATTATCACAAGGAAACTTGTGATTTTTCTGAAAGCTCTGCTGCAGTTCAACAAACAATATGGACCTGACTGAAAACCAAACAAACATGGACGCCTTATATCAGCTGAATTCCACCATTAAAGGTTAGTTTAACCCAAATTTTATGGATACAGTGCTGTATTGTCAAAGCAGTTGTGTAACTCTCACAAAACCAACCCTGCAGTCACACAGGTGTCTTAAGAGGTTTGATGACATCAATGTTTGCAAAGCATAAACATGGGAATCTTTCCTGTCTTTCCCACATGACATAATTGTGGCAAACACCTGAATCTCTCTTTTTCTTTGCCTGAAGATGTTAGCTAAATCTGCACCATGGAAAGTCACAACGCTTTCTACAAGAAGTTTCTGTTTGCACTCTAATTTTGAATCTGTGTCACATTTGTGTGGATGGAGGGATTTAAGACTCAGAGAACAAGAGGTGCATTTTTTGATGCAACCTGCATTCATTAGGCAAAGATATTTTAAAATCCACACATACTGAGTTAATGGCTTCCCTGATGGTGGTAACTTCAGTCCAGACCAAACACACTCAGCAGCAGAGCTGGTGTCAAGTGGCAGGTTATTAAAAGGTGTTCAGATGCCACTTAGAAAAGGTTCTTATTTCACGCAGTACACATGGTTAGTCCATCTAAATTTTCTGCTTAGGACAGCTGGACAACTTTCTTCTCCTTCCAACGAGACCTCCCTAACAGGCCACACACATCGAAAACCCACGGGGCCTTCTGTATCCAACAATCCTTCAACAAGACCAGCATCAACCAGAGAAGCCGCCGGCGAGGTCGAAGCAGAGTTTTAGATCCACCATCACGAGACACGAGAGTGATTACTTGATTTCAGCAGAGGGGAGCAAATGAAGCTCTCACAGGCTCAGGAGGAGCATGTATGTAACTTTGTTTTCTCTTTCTCTGCATCAGAAACACACCGAACAGAGAATGTGCCCCTCCTTCCTTTAAACCTTGATACAAAGACAAGCTGAAGTCATCCCAGCCAAACATCCTGAATAGAAAATCCCCCCGAAACCGATGCAACATCTGGTGTTTATTGACCCACACGTCCCTCCGCCCTGCTCCGTGCTCTGGCTCGTTCGGCCTGTAGCTGCAGCCGTGGTGGCCGCGGTGTTGGATGACGTGACTCGTGGGTGGGGTGGAGGAGAAAGCCTGTTATTCAGGAGAAGGGTGGGACAGGGCCACGAGAGGCCCTTCGCGTCCACAGTGAAACCACAGCGGCTCACTCTCACGACGCTGCAGACAGCAGACGCGAGGAAACCACCAAAAAAACACAAGAATGAGGAAAACAGGATGCCTTCACCGTGAGCTGCGTGGCAGATGCGACGCTTGTTTGCTCCAAAATTAGGGCCGAAGCAAAGCTCGCCACAAAACCTTCTGGGACGACAAAGCAAGTTTCTCAGGGGCCTTACGGTCATGAAAGCTGCTTATAAAGTCCTCTCAGTCGTATAAAAATAAAGAAGTGGACAAAAATAGAGTCAGAAGGGCTTGTTTTTGTGCAACAGCAGTGATAAGCAGTAATGACCTCTCTGGATTGTGATTAATAGCCGACTGGCAGTGGACGTGAAGCCGTCAGAGTGAAACAGATATATAGTAAGTTTCTCTGCTTTCCTGCGATAACAGGAACCCTATGGAAGCAAATTAAGCGACTGCTGTGCTCAGCTTAACGACGGGCTGACTCAGAGCACAGATGAGAAGATTTAACAGGATTTCCTTTAAAGGGCACAGGGACACCAGTGATAATTGATAAAATGACTGAATCAATAGGCACGTATATCATACAAGAGAAAGTCCTGCTGCTGATTACATAAAAATATATACACATTATACAGTGTCTGTGTGTGTATGTGTGTGTGTGTGTGTGTGTGTGCATGCAAAGAGAGTCTTCCTAAATCCTTGATTAGTTCCAGAGGACTTGCAGGGCTAAGATAAAACAGCAGTGTGGAGAAAAGAAGCCTTGCGTAAAAATTTCCACGACCCTGAGCAAGAGCTCGGCTTTCAAAAACATCGCCTTAGGCCAGGGGGATGCTTTGGATTTCGTCATCGCTGGAGTGAGTCAGGCAAACAAACTGTACCTTGCAAGAAAAATGTGTTGAGAAAATGTTGTGATGGTGCGTCTGACTCACCACAAATACCAGTTTTCCCACGTTGGTCCAGGGGAAGTCGTACAGCAGCTGCCTCACGGACCCGACGTTCTGCAAACACAGACACATGAAATCAATATTTACAGGTACAGTGATACTTTTCAGCTGATTAAAATCTAACAGATACTATGACATGTTCACAATTTTAGATACATGTAGATATTTAATTTACAATGTAATGTTTACAAACTGTGTTTGCAATAAAAGTAAAAAGTAAACTAGTACGGAGACTTACTTCTAGAAAATTATTTAAAAAAAGTTTAAATAATCTGACACCACTGGCTCATCTCCTCCCGTTTAAACTACTGTAACTCTCTGTACACCAGTATTAGTCAGTCCTCTCTGTCCCACCTCCAACTGGTTCAGAACTTGGCTGCCAGACTCCTCACAGGTACCTAGAGGAGAGACCATATCACACCTGTTTTGGCCTCTCCACTGGCTGCAAGAAAGGTTCTCCTGTTTGTGTACAAAGTTTTTAATGGTCTGGCCCCATCCTACATCACAGACCTCCTAACCCCTTATGCTACGCCCAGGTCCCTGAGGTCAGCTGACTAGGGGCTCCTGGCTGTCCCACGTTCCAGACTTAAGCTCAGGGGTGACCGTACCTTTGCTGTGTCTGCCCCAAACTGTGGAACAGAACCCTCCTCCCAATCAGATCTGCCCCCTCCATTAACTTGTTTAAGTCCAGGCTCAAAACCCACTTTTATTCATTAGAGTTTCAGTCCCCCTGATGTGGCTTACTCTGACACATGCCTGTGTGTGTGTTGTGTTGTTGCTTTTTTTTTTTTTTTTTTTTTAGCAATTTATTCCTTTTGTACAGCACTTTGGTCAAAGTGAGTTGTTTTGAAATGTGCTTTATAAATTAATTTGAGTTGAAGCTGATTTTTTTCCCACATTTTCAGAAAATAAGACTTTCAGGACTCAATACAATAGACTAAAAATAGTACATTTGAAAATACATACAGCAGGAAACAGACAACAAAACAGTTAAGTCTAACCAGGAATCAACAGACGTGTCTCCATCCACCTCTTATTATGTGCATTTTCAATTTGTGCATTAAAAAATCCTTAATAGGAACACCAGAAATTTAAAATAACCTTAAAATATCACAAAAATGTTTTTATGCTTGGGGGATGTGGAAAAGTTGGTGTATTGATAAAATGTGACCATCATTGCTCATGTCACTGCAAGCTCTCTTCGTTGTCTCTGGATGCTTTTAACATGTTTATTTATGCACACAGGGCTGTTACCAGAACATTTCATAGCACACAAAGCTGTAATAATCAGTTGTTCAAAGCTATATTTCCATTGTCCTATGTGCTCTTTGTTATTATACATCCATTGTTTTCCTTTATTTGAGGTTTGACTGGCACCCTTTTTAATTTTGTATCTCGTTGCTCCCTGTTCTTCTGACTAGAAAACTAGCATCGTCTAACGCTTATCTTGACGAACCAACTCTGAATATTCACAGAACACCAATGGATATAAAAGCACATGAATTTGCAGTTTCTTTGCTGATTTTCTGAATCTTTGGTTAAAATTTGTGCTACATTTGAATGGAAACTCAACTACTGTCTCAAAAAGAAAAAGAAACGTGGATTACCTGAAATATTTGGATACCACGTAAAGTCAGTCCCAAAGTAAGAGATGCCTCTACTTCCTTCTTGTCCTGTTGAAAGACGTAAGTTCAGATATATTTTAGGTGAAGATCAAGTCAAACCTGATGTAGTAGAATAACCTGAAATCTTATGAGCTATCAATACAACATATGCTCTCTTAGCCAGCTGAATTCATAAGCCAGTATTTATAATAATATCAAAGAGAAATCTACTAACTCCATCTCTCACCTTGTAGAGTCTGTAGTAGTGAACAGTGACGTCATCAAGCTGGGCACACTCCTTGATGTATTTGAGATGCGCCTCCGAAGCTGTGAGAGCAAACTGGTCTTTGTGCATGTTCGGGATATGCCTCAAGATATACTCACGGCCGCGCTTGGCTATCACCTGAGCAGGGAGAGAGAGAAAGAGAGAGAGGGGAAGAGAGTCAGGCTTGGCTGCCCTGAACTGGTACAGACTCATTATAGCAGATTGGCAGCACAGGTTGCCAATGAGGGTAATGAAGCTTCCTGCCGCAGGGCAAACAGATGTCGACCTGGAGAGACTGAACAAGAGCCAGAGGCACCGAGCGGAAACACACTTGCTAAGCTTTGCATGTGGCTTTTGAAGATTTTGTAAGAGAGCTTTCTAGGCACCTAAATCTGCGGGAGATTTACTGGAGGGTAGCGCTCTCATCATCAAACAATTTCCTGTCACTGCTGGTTTCCAGTGGCGATAAGGAGGCAGGAGGCTAATTACAGGAAGTAAAGGGCAATCAGACGGGTGTGGCAGACACAGCCAGAGAGGTGGAGGGATGGTGCTGGTGCTGGTGGTGGTGAGGGTGCCAGTGTGGCCAGAATAGCAATGTCAGCCAGAGCATTTCTCAAGATAAAAAAAAAAAACACAACAGTGTGTGTGCCACTTCCAGGGACAAAAATAAACTTAGTGTCCCAGTTCTCATTATCCCGCATGCTCCGATGTGGAGCTGTCGCTAAGTGTTTGGTGAGGGTGATTAATGGAAGGTATCTACAGACCCACATACTGTGTGCACTGTAGGCCAGGGCACCGTACACACCCCGACAGCCAAAAACACACCTTTACTGTATATCTCAGCTCCTCAGTCAGTGATACAGCAGGCTATTTTTGGTGTTTTTCAGCTGAGACCTATTTAAGTCACTGATGTTTTACATTCACTGTGACTCACTGGAGTATCAGACAGACTTACCACAGACAGATTTACCAGTCTAATACAGTGATGTATTTACTTTATTATTCACACACAACACTGCCTTCAAGCTTCTTCTGTATGCTGCACCAGGAAGCAATTAAAATGTAGTATTAAAGCACATGTCATAGTCTTCTCTTTACCCCCACATTTTCTGCCAAAAATAGCAAAAGTTAGCTTGTTGTAGCTTCTCTGGAATGAGATTTGCTGCTTTCTCTGTAATGTTTCATTATACATTGAATACATTTTGTTTTGGACTGTTGGTCAGAGAGAAAAGGCATTTTAAGACTTGGATTCTGGGGAACTCAGATGGGCATTTCTCTTGTTATCTGATATTTTATAGACAAAACAAGTAATTGATTATCGAGGAAATATCCAGCAGATTCATTGTTAATGAAAATAATTCATGCTTGCAGCCTTAAAGCTGTTTCTCTCTATTGCAATGTGACAATGCTGTGTGAAAATACTGAAAATTTGCATGCAAATTGCCGTATATCAAATACACTTAATGAGTACGGTGCAAATTTTCTGTGTTGCCATGTTACATTTTGGTAAAATAAATAGAAAAAAAAAAAGACATTCTTCCTAAATAGTGTCCATGTCCACTCCACACTAAACACCTACACAGACAGAGAATGACACTCTCCCTGCTGTTACAAGATTCATGGCCTACAATCAGTCAGCCCTGCCTCTGAATGATTCCCACCCTCTATCTCCTGGTTGATTGGGAGCATCTGTATATTATATATTATATATTACATATGGCTGACATTCAGTAACTTAGCAACTACACCACTCAGCTGCACCAAACCTCAGTCCTCTGATCTGACCAACAGTCACCCATCCATGAGGAGACGTGATTAGCTTCTTCTTCTTACGGTATTACACCCTCACTACCATCACTCTGCTGCATTGAACACTACATAATGGCAACCAGGGAAGTTTGATTGTTTGATTAGGGTTGGACAGACTTGCACCCGGTGGTCCGATGAAGTCATTCTGCGTAAGAATTAGCCATGTGCTATGTTTGTCACTTTCCGTGAACAACATATCACGTTAGCAAGTGCGTGTCAGCTACGTTAGCATCTTTATTGTATCAGCTGAAGCAGAAACCAAATTGATGAGACACTCCCCATTTTGGCAGCGAGCTAGCTGTGACCTAGAAGTATGACATCAGTTGGAACGAAGGATTTGATTGGTTAGAGGTATATTTCTGCAGGCGGAGAGCCGCTGAAACCGAGGTCCATATTTTTCCCCTGCATGAATGTTGCACAGGGTGGTGTAATCACTCATAAGAACCCGCTTTTTTAATGCTGAATATATCCGAGTTAAAAATCAAGTTCTAGAAATAAAAATAAAAATAAAAAAAGCTGTAGCAACCAACCAAAAGCCAAAGCAAATAGTCATGCATCCCTTAAATGTTACATATAATAAACACGTGCTATGTATTCAACAAAATAGATAGATAGATAGAGAGAGAATGTATTTTTTTTGTGATCAATACAAGATGTGATCAGATGTAGAAGATAAGGGAGGAGTCAGATGTGGTTTGGTGTGAACAGAAAGATAAAGGAAGCTGCAGGATGATGGTCAGCCATCATAAATCATGTCCTCTTCACTGATAAGTTTGACATGTGAGGGTTCAGCCCACATAAGGTACTTGTCAAACACACTCACCCATGGGGGGAAGTAGGCTTCAGGTTCAAAGTACTTCCCAAAGTGCTTGTTGCGTTTGAAGTTGCCGAGGTCGGCCTGCAGGGCGAAGGCTGCCAGGAGGAAGTAGGCCTCCTCCCTTTGGATACACTGTGAGAGCAGCACCTGTTTCCTCAAGTGCCAGTAGTAGTAGTACCTGGCTGCCCGGTCACTGTGGGATCAAAGGTAAAATACAGTTACACTGGGTGATGTTATAGCATGGTGTACAGGTAAGTTGTGTAGAGTAAGTGGACGGGCTTTACTTGCCTGATCAATCTCCCGTTCTCAACGTAATACTGAGCTCTGAAGTGAATGATCATCGGAGGGCCAAACTGATCGATGCCCTGGAAGAGAAACAGGTGGAAATCCTTCTTTATTTTCTAAAACAGGAAGAATTTAACACCCTGTATGACTGTGTCTCAAGATGCAGAGAGCAAATAGTAATTAAACATTTCAGCTTCATTCTTCAGGTATTATGTAACATGACAAACAAACACAGCACATTAGTGTTTGCTAACTAGGCTGATCTGGCATCAGATGTTATTAAAAGGAGCAAAAAGATGTTGGTGAGTTCATTTTCACCTGCTGTTACAGGTACAATCTGTGTTCAACATCTAAACAAAACATGAGTGTATTAAGAGAACTGGATACAGCGTTGGAGGCGGCACCCTGTACATTCCTGTGAAAATTGCTTAGTGGCTCATGAAGCTCAATTTCTGTAGTATGAATTTACCCCTATCTTCCACATTGTCGGGCCCATAGAGCAAGCACACTAGAAACTTCCACCAGACAAACAGCTAACTTCTGGTTTAGCGTGATGAGTTTTAAACCACAGACAGGCAATGTGTTGATTTAATGTGTTAAGTGTTTTGTAATGACTCTATTTGTTTGTCTTACCATTTGTCTGCTTTTACAATGTTGTCGTTTGTGTTTAGTGAGCCGAAGACAAATTTCCACCCATGGTGGACAATAAAGATATATTCTATTATATTTTATTACCCTCCACTAACGTGAGAGGGAATAAAATGATTTAAGAGTGTGGCTCTTCCAGACTTGTGAAATGTTTTCGGACCAAATGGATCAAATCTCGATAGTGAAACAAGCCATTTCGCGGTGGCTGTGGCGCTCAAAAAAATGTATCCACTGATTTACAGATGCCCCTTTTCAATGTAAGTCTATGGGGAAAAGTCTTTTTGGGCCCAATGGCATCATGTGATGAACCTGGACATTGTTACAAGGCAGATTCTGTCACTGCATTGCCTGTTTCTTGCCTGAAATGTTTTCAGAAACATAGTTTAGTGTACTGTTTAGCTGCAAAATGAGCTGAAACGAAAAATCATCCACTGGCTGGAGAAAACTTTCTCATTTTACAGCTAAACAGTACACTGAAATATGTTTCTGAAAACATTTAGGGCAAGAAATGGGCAACACAGTAACAGAATCTTGATTCATATTTGATCAGCGCTGCCTAGTTTGACAGTTGGATGAGTTCACAAGTAGTGATTAAAATGATTGACAGTGGTGTAAGAGTCTCGTCGGCTCTGATTACTTGTTTTCCAGTGAGTCATGGTAGATTTTAGCAAATGCCATTAGACGCAGAATTCTTTTAGAATATGGTGACAGTTTCAGCAATTATGACAAAGTTATTTTAAAATTACCAACTGTATCTTAAACAAAACAAGGTTTATACCTTAGTGAGCAGAAAAGTGGAACGACCTGACGCTGAATTTTATTTGGATAAATCTTGAATCCCAGGTAGGAGATCTATTAAATCCAGTTTTTGAACTAGGCTGCTAAGTTGTGTACAAACTTCTTGCCAAGCGCAGCTTTAAAAAGGAGTCTTAACGTCCTCTGCTCACTGTTAAACTTTTGATTGAAAGTCAGTAATCCAGCACATCATTTCTCACCTTGCTGGCTTCTCTCTTCCATTCTTTGGGGCAGTACTTGGATAGCTTCTGATCCAGCTCCATATAGATGTGTTCATTATCTGTGGAAGGAGGAGAGGCAAAGGTTTAACACTGGAACTCATACTCTGTTTTGTTGGTATGTGTGTGTCTGTGTGTGTACATGCGGATGTATAGATGCCTTTATGTGTGTGAGTGCACTGAGAAATCCCCCCTGAATGCTCCCTGTTCAAAGACCCAAGCCTCAGAGTCATCACCTCAGACAGCCTCTGCACTTCCCTTTGTACTCAGAGCCTCTGGTGTTCCTTCTCATTTCTCCACCTCACTGTGTCATGCATTAATCTGCTCCTGAAGTGACGCCTTTCATGAGCTGTGGCCTGCTGATGTGACAAGTCTGAGTTTCTATACAATGAACACCCATTGAAAAGGGAGAGAAAATAAAGAGCAGGAGTAGAGGCTCTCTGGCACAACATCAATGCATAGTTTTTTAATCACATTTGTAAACTGCATTAAAGACTAAAGGATGAGAATTATGACTCATACTTAAATTTGCACTGCCCCAAATATTCTGATCCACATTAACACCTTGTTTTCACTGTGTTGATTTTAAAACTCCACCATGATGAGAAGTATCTTCCCATGAAGATAGTTTTGGTTTTTCTTGGGGACAATTTGAGATCTGCACCGCAGAGACCTCTGCCGCCATCCTGATAGAATTGAGGTCAATGACATTTGGTTTGTGGTGCTCAGAGAGTCCAAATATTACATTTAAAAAACCCAGCAGCAATATCTGTTTCCAGAAACAATATCCGCGCTGCACAGGCTGATCCATAGACCTCACTGTGCAAAAGGTTTCATTGAGAACTTCCTGTGGTTGTACGTCACCAGAGAAGGTCAGTGGAGATGCTTTTTAAGATTTGGGTGAATTGCACCTTGAACTTACTTATTGTGATCCTTTAACTGAATATTATGTCTTTTTTTGTGGACAGGAACAACATTTCTGACAGACTGAATTGAGCTTAAAAAAACATTACTCTGGTGGGTGAAAAGTACCATGTACAAAACTGAACTAATGAACCCAACACCACTTTAAGGCTGCAAATAACAATCATTGTCATTATCAGATTAACTTCAACTAATCGTTTGGTCTATAGATTCCAAAGAAAAAACACAGTCCAAAATGACATCTTCAAATTGCTTGTTTTTGATGACCAACAGAACACAACCCAAAGATATTTGGGCCTTGTTTACACATATAAAGAAATTTTTGAAAACAGAAATTTTCCTCTATGTTCTGGGCTCTCATCTATACACAAATAAAACAACTTCAAAGGAGCAGTTTTTTCAGAAATCCGGTTACTGTTTATCTGTTGACGTGTAAAAATGATGCATCTGGGAAACAATGACATCATCTCCTCAATTCACACGTCTGTTGTTGCTTTGTTTACTGAGTATACGCCAGAAACAACAAAAATGGTGGACTTCACTTTGTCAGCACTCAATGGTCTAAAGACTTCTTTACACCTAAACTTAGTATTGCTGCACCATTTCACAGACGAATGGGGCTGTCTGCTATGCACAGTGTTATATGGTCCACCTCAGGATCCGGGGTTTCGTACCAGCAGATGGTGGTGATACTTTTGAGAGTGAGATTGTTGTCAATGAAGACTGGAAGGAAAACTTAAGTATGTCCAGAGTATCACTCGAATCTTTGAATGGGGATCAATAGTGATGAGATCTCCAGTAGGTGTTTTGAAAAGGTAATGATAGCTTGTACATGTTACCATCATTGTGATGAGGAAAAACTATGGAAGACAGAACGTGTTTGAAGTCTTACAGGTGTGGAAGGACATACTTTGTAAGATGAAAAAAAAAAACTGTATACGTGTATAAAATACTGCAAATACAATACAATACATTTGAGAGACTGGAACCAGTGAAGCATTGCCAATTTTGCTTCAAAAAATTACTTTGACATTTAATTTTTCAAAATAGTTGCATTCATTTTCTGTTGACCAACTAATTGACTAATTGTTTCAGCTCCACACTGCCTCCACTGGCCATTTAACCCAGCTCCTAGCAGATTCAACACATTCAAACAGTCTCAGCTTGACTGTCGCAGAGAAATCCACTTTAAAAACTCTTTCTGGCACTCATCAGCATTGGACGTATTGTTTTTTTATGTGGGGTAAATCCTTTAAACAGCAGGCAAACAAAGACGTATTTGAACCCATGTCTGGTGTGGACGCCACACTCTGATCGGGGGGACATCGGGTGACACACAGCAAGTGGGTGGCCTCTGTTTGCCTTGGGGATTTCACGCTGTTCAGACAAGCACTTCAGGAATGTCCCACAATCAGACCCATAGGCTCCTGCTCAACTGACCTGCTGGGCCGTCATTGGCTCATCTGGAGGCCAGCTGTCTGAAAACACTGCCTTTGCAATTCACTCTCCCATTGCTGTTGCCTACAACTGTCACCCACTGTCTGCCGCGCCATAGTGCAGACACAGTGACTCATTCCATACGTACAACCCTCACCGTGCCGTCACCGTAAAAACAACTGTAGCCTCACTGCACAATGGGAGCCAGTCAGGACGAGGAGGCCCTGGTTCCTGAGAGACCGCCATGGCATGTAGGTGAGAGATGCTGCGTTTAGGGTAGATTCCTGTCTCTCAGCCAAGTTATTGGTCTGAGGAAACTAACTGCCTGGTTACACTGTTTTTACGAGGCTCTGGTACTCTTTGTGACTGCGTTCACTCCACAATTTGCATGATGTAACCATGCAATTTAAATATTTTAAAATAAAAAAAATGAGGCTTTGTCCACACAACTGAATGTCATTTAGAAGATGTGAAGTGGAAAATCATAGACAAAAGAGGTTGTTGTGTTCTGCTGACAGGTAACCAAGTTAAAAAATAGAAAAACTGAATACAGAACACTACAAAACAACATGTAGCACTGCACAAACAGAGACGGGAAACATTTGCTTGAATCCCCGAAAATAAGAAGTCTTACTCTGAATAACACTGAGTCCAAACAGGTGACAGTCCTTCAGCCTCAGGAGGTCACACACCTGCACCAACAGTTCCTGGCACAAGGTCTTCACCTGAGGAGGAGAGGAGAAGAGAGGAGGGTTGTTTTTAGCTTTGTAACATCATCTGTTTGCCATTTTATTAATACACACCCCAAACACCCCACCGCTGATGTCTGGTATGTATCGCATGTTGTTATAAAACCACCAGAAGTATTTCAGTTCAAGTAGGAGCCTTGTTTTGGCCACCATCAATGAAAAGCTGTATGTAGAGCAGCTGTGATAAAATGAAAATAAATCAAACTGCTGTTTAATTAGAGATTAGAAATTCCTGAGGTTAGTGCACTGCAAAAACACAGTGCTGTGTAAGTAGCAGCTGACAGCTGCAGAGAAATACTGACCACAATTTGTTATAAAATTAAAAACCTCCCAGTGTACCCTGAGAAATAGTTTGACAAACACATTCACTTTCTTGCAGAGAGAAAGATGAGATCAATACCATGTCTGGGTGATAAATAAAGCTACAACCAGCAGCCCTTAAATTTAGCTTAGCTTAAAGACACAAAATGGGGGAAACAGCTAGCCTGGCTTTATTAACAGGTAATAAAACTCACCTACCAGCAACTCTAAAGCTCACATATTGACATGTTGTGTTTTTTTTTGATTCAACTATGCAAAAACAAATCATAAAAATGATAATGTGGTTTCAGACAGAGCCAGACTAGGTGTTTCCACTCTTTATGCTAAGGTAAGCTAACTGGCTGTAGCTTCATATTTAACAGAAAGACATGACAGTGGTATTGAAAAAGCAAATAAGTGCATTTCCTAAAATGTTGAACTATTCCTCTAACAGTTTAATATCTTGATGTAAAGTTTAACTAGAAAAATGGAAAAAATATGGTTTTTATTTGTACTCACATTGACTATGACATTGAGCGTGTCATCATTGGGCAAAAAGACACAGACGCAGCGGCGGTCCTGCATGGTTTTGTTGTTGTGGAAGCTCAATTTGTTCATCTTCGTGTGGCTGAGACAGGACAGGCCCCTCCGCCTGCTACCGAGGCTCCGGGCCCTCTGACGACCCGCCTCCACCACCGCAGACACAGATGATGATACTACCACCACCACCAGTCACTGTGTCCCTGCCTTAGCTGCAGCCCAGTACGGACACACCAGCACCTTCAGGCTCAGCAGGCCAAGCAGCACTCACGAGGCAGAGCATGGGGACCCAAGCTGCAGTCAGCCACTGTGGAGACACATCAGAGAGGATAGAGGATATGTAGGTGTGTTATGAGGAATGAGGCAGAGGCAGTGGCTGCGTGGTTGACATGAAAATTATGAAGTTGTTTGAAGATCTACATTTGCATTTAAAAATAGCAGAAGGATGACATCTCACTAAAAAAATCTGACTTGATGGGAGAAATAAAAGACAGACAGATGGAAAAGAAGGGCAGCATTCCTGTTTGTGTCCATGAATATGTGACATCATTTCAGGGGAATGTCAGTGACTCCAGAGGAACATGTGAACATCTGTCTGGAGAGGAACCGGTGAAATGTAATGATGGCATGAAGGAAAGACACAGACTGAGTGACTCAGAACTAAAAACAGACTGATTTCCATCATTTTCTCACTTAAACAGCAAAACCAGTTCTGAACGTTTAACTTCAGGGCATTTTAACAAACCAGAAATACAACACTGCGGGAAAAAAGCAATGTGTTACCGAGGTTGACTTGAACAGCTGTTAAGAAATATACGCACCGGGGTTTAGATGTCGACTGGGTGTGACTTTGTTGGCTCTGTAAGCCAAACAGCTTCACATTTTCCTCCTGGCATCGGTTTTGTCATCTCAGTGAGTTCTGTTGACATGCTTTCAGCTGTTTGACTTGAAGTTTTTACTGTCAGCTGGCATGAGTCAGACTGAGGCTTTGTTCTCGGGAAATACAGGTATGAAAAATATCCGTAAATAAAATTTTATTCTCTTTTTTGCAAGAGTATTGTCTTAAAAGAAATGCCTTCTTTTTTGCTTAAAACAATCTCTGCAATGGCAAAGTGTTGCAGGAATCTCAAAAAATATTTGCACACTGACTTTATCCTGCACCTGGTCAAGTTAAATATTCACACTTCTATTTTATGACAGCAATGTACTCACTTGTTCTCTACCAACCATGCCTTTCACTCACACACACAGTAGTAAGAGAGTACACACACACACACACACACACACACCTCCAGCATTAACAGTTATCCTGTGACGGGCAAGTAGCTCACAGCATGAACTGTGCCTGAGGACGTGTGAGGCCTTCAGAGGGTGTGAAAAGTCTCAGACCAGACAAAAGAATGTAAAAGAACAATCAATCCAAGTTATCACTTCTTCCTGTTGAAAGTCGCTCACCTTGAAGCCATGTTGTCATTAAAAACAGATCAGGTTACAGGGTGAAAACAATTAGCATTTAAAAAGATGCAATCAGAGAATTAAAGGTTTATTTACAGCATAGAAAAGTTCATGAGTTCAAGTCAAGCAACATCCACACATCAATTCAGAAATAATCTCTGTCCATATTAAAACAAAGGTTTCTTTGCTTGGACCGATGTTGAGGTGGAAATGTTACTGAAAGTAGCACATGAGTATAAGGTCAAGATTAGAACAGTACTAGCTGGGAGCATCATCTGGAGGAAGTCATGGCAATGGGAAAAGGACTAGAGTACCCACAAAAGAAGGATAAAATCACAAAAGGTATGTAGACTTAGCTTAATGTTTTGACTGGACAAGCTGTGACTTTTAACACACTATCGGAGGGCAAATGTGTGTCTGTGTTATTGTTTCCATAAGTCTCAAATTCAATCAAAAACAGGGTAATCAGCATTTTTAAAGTTCACAGTTTTAGTTGTTCCAAAATGCTGAAGGAGTGTGGACACTAGGTGCAAATGTAGAAATAGTATAATAGTATAATGAACATGTTAGTGTGGATGTAGCCCTAGTTTTAGCCATGATAGCTACAATTCAGTTTCACTGCAGTCTAAGGCATCCTTCAGCTACTCAGTGTGGATTTCAGTCGCACACTCTTTCTCCTGCCTTTAAAAGCTGCTGGGGCAATGAATAAAAGTAAAAACCTGCCTTAAAATCAGTAAATTGCCACTCTAACAAAGAAAGCAGCAGTGAACACAACACCAGAGTCACTGACCAGACTGATACCAATAAACAACAGCTTTAATTGTAGGCTTGGACTTCTGCAGCAAAGTCAGAAAGTGCTTCTCGGACTAAGTGCCCATTCAATAAGGCTGCTGTCGACATATAACACTGCTTTGTTGCAGCAGAGACAGGGAGCATTGTGGGCCGAGCAGCCATAAATACACATACTGTTGACATACAGCATCAGTTCTCATTAATGCTGGTCATTGGATGTGCAGTGTGGCAGGCAAGCAGCCACTCAGCAAAGTCTGCTGATGAACCATGACTGGGGGGCGGCAGCCTGCGCCGCTGCTGACCTTGACTGCATGCATCACTACTGCACTGCACACATACAAACATGTACATGTGGACAAAAATAGAGACATGTTAGCAGATGCACACACTCATTCACAAGGGGTGTATTCCTGCTCTTGCGTCGACCATATGTCAGGTGCTACTACAGAACAGCTGTGTGATGGCAGCGGGGTTAATTAGAAGTGAGATGCGTCTAATTGGAGTACTTCCCTCCATCACTCACTTCCCCTCCAGAGATCCAGCGTGATGCCAGTAAGCTAGTACAAATTACTTCTGCAGAAAATACCTAGTATTGAATTGTTAGTTTGTGAGATTGGTGAGCTGTCAGACAGGGAAACAATAAAGAGTACCGAGAAACTTAATCCATGTCCAACTACTCATCTGCTGATAGCACCACTGCAACACTAGATGTCTGTACTGTACATTATAAGGGTGTATCATGCTCATGAAAGAAAAACAATAAATTAGATGCACTGCGATTCCTGCTTCTCTCTTCAAAGATTGTGTCTCAATGCAGAAAAGTCAGTCATCATAAATTTAATTTAATTCTCTACATTATGATCACCTGTAACAATTTTTGTAATACAGGGCTGTGAGTTCCTCACGGCTGTACCAACTGCATGGTGAAATGTAACTGACGTAAACGTACATGTCGCGTTTGTGTTCCAAGCAAGGCTACATCTTGAGTTTTGGTGAGGATGACTGAGCGTAAGCGACCGCAGATGGACACAATCTGACCGACAACCCCTGGCTAACATGTGGAAGCATTTTGGCTTCTATGAAGTTGAAGGTAAAAGGGACTTGGTCAGAGCCACACTAAAATGGTCACAAAAATAAATCATGTATACTGCAGGGTCCGGAATTAACACCTGCCAAGTGTCAAACTAAAGATTTTCCATTTGGCAAATAATTTTCAGTTATCTGTCGTGATATCAGCTACTCCATTAAACTATCACCTGCTGCTAATCATGCCGCCAGTGACTGTGATAAGGAGTGAGGAGACTGATGAGGAGGTTTAAATTGGGTTAAAGATTTCAGGTTTACAAAGCCTTCAAATTTACCTTCATGTTTGACCATAACTACATCTAATAGCAAATACTTAAGTACAGTTTTGAGATCAAGACTTCTTGAGTTGTATTGTATGTAGGCTTCAACTTATAAACTGTGATAAATTTATTAAAATAACTTTGCATCAAATTTTGCTCTGGCCTCTTCTCCAAGTTTGTATTAAACTTAATACCTGATTATCTGAATCACATGAGCTGGTACACAAAAAGGCAATTTATTATCTTGCTTGGCTTTTTTTATTTTTTTTTTATCCGAGCAAGAAGTTAAGTTCAGACACTGATATGTGAGATCAATATATGAGATATTAAAGTATGACAAAAACTATACTGTGAGTATTGAAAAACTGTGTAAGTGATGATGGAGAGCAGGACGAAGGTTTAACCAGCTGTGACTCACCAAACTAATAGAAGTGTGTGTCTTACTTCTTATCAGATGATGACTGCAACAGAATTTTGTTGTTTAAAGGAGTATTATGAAGAAGAAGTTGTTCTCTTTAAGTTTAGGAATTTCAGTATGGATGGAGAACTTGTCAGACGTTACTTTAAATTGTTAATGTGGATCATTTTATTGGCAAAATGCATCTTCCTGGTGGAGACAGATGAGTGTGGATGTTGCCTTAGAATATGATAGAAATGTCTTTGCTGGAAAACTCAGCTGATGTTACTGTATCTGCTACTACCATTGTCTCTAGTCTGACTCACTGGATGTAGACTGCAGCTATAAGCCTGCCATTGGGAGCTGATTTGGGGCAGCATTCTCCCTGTCAACAACAACCTCCAAGCCAACAACTTAGCACTGAAAAAGACGACTTCTAATGAAGATTTGGATCGTGCAAAAATGCATGCCTGCTTTGTTCTCGTGGCAAATTGTTGTAAAGATCTACAGTGGATAAAACAACCTGTGAGTGCACATCAGAAAAGCTCAGACTCTGTCTTGCAGGATTCCCTATGCTGAACTGTTCTCTTACACGATCAGAGTTTATTTGTCACATCTTTTAACTCTGGCAGCAGCATGCACCATTGACAGTGACTTCACCGATGTACCAATCTATTCTACTTCACACAAGTTTCTGTAATATCATCATAATAAAGTTCTTCTAGCGCCACATACTGGAGGCAAATCGTCTGGGGTTTTACGGGGTCCAGTGAGCTCCTCCAGACCCAGAGTATAGTCAGGCTTCACCTTTAGGGCACCGATTATTATCTTTTTGTCAATACAAGTTGAATCACACAGTGAAACACAACTGTTAATATGTTTTCTTTTGGGGGCCATTTTAATGACAGTGCACATGCAAATATTCCACCAAAACAACACGATTCCCCAACATGAAATAGAAGGAACACTGACACTGCATCCTAATGACTGTGACTGATTTTAAGAAATGAAAACAAACCAGAGCATTTTTTACCCTATGGCAGAAATATAATCAGTGATTCCAGACCTTCCTTAGTGCAGACACAGCACTGTGGAGACAGGTCTGACTATGCAAGACTACCCACACATCTACAGCCCATACTGGTCGGCTTAAAGAAGCATTTTAAGAACCATATGTCCTGGCTGTTTATTGCTGGAGTCTGAAAATCTGAGTACAAGGTGGAAACATTCACACATCCATTTCAATCTCCCTGCAGAAAAGTTAATGGGCCTTGAAGTGGGCTCTGCTGAAGTCATATCATCTTGCATTTTCAGCCA